GAGATCATACTGACAATATTGAACTTTTCTCTAAACTGTCAACTCTCATCATTTCACATCAACTTTTTCAAATTCACAAAGATTTCCTGAATGTATTTTGGTGAGTAAAATGTTGCTCCACCTTCTGAGTCGCACCTTCCTATCCTCTTTTTAAATGCAAACCGACAGGAGGAGCTGTAGCTTTTAGTTTTGATACCAGTAGGAAGAAATTGATTCTGAAAAGCATTGGACGTGTTTTAAGTTCTGTGCTTTTTATTTAAACTTTTCAAAGGTTCTGGGACTTGGCTGCAGTTACAGGAAGTCAGAATTGGTTAGAATAATTACCTGAAACTATCTAGATTTGAGAAGATTTCTCACACATCTCAACCCCAAAATCCATCATAAAGTGTATGTATCCCGCAATAAGGACTTTGTCAACATTTTAGTCATTAGATTCTTATTTTCACTTTTCACAGCTTATATCTCACTTAATCAATTGGACTTATAATTATTTGGGAACATATTCACAGACAGATATACATGAAAACACAGAGAAATACATTCTGAATGATTGGTATTTATAACAGGAAGCCCGCTAGTATAATGACTGAAAAAATTCAGTGTTGGGTGAAATATCACTCCATATCTGAGTTTCCACTTTCCAGGCAAATGATTCACAGCAGAAGTTCTTCACAACATTAATGATGATAAGAGGTATTTTTTCTCAAAGCAAAGGTGAGAAAACGGTTACGCCTTAATTTACAAAGAAATGACAATATTCCAGTAAAGGTAACCTGAAGAGAACAAATATGCTTTTAGAAGAAATTGAACCTAACCTCACTTTGAGAGAGATTTGAGCCTTCCTTCTGAGAATTTAATTAAGACTAGTAATAAGGAGTATAGTCTGCACAACTGATTCTCATTCACATAATTGTAGTATCTCAATTGTGATTGCCAATTTTTAAATGGCCATTGTAATGAAAATACAAAGGAAAACAAAATTCAGGTGGAGATGTTGCTCATCTAAAACACAAGTCTTGCTGCAGTCTAGATACAATGGATGTGTCCAAAGTCTGGGGCGACAGGGATGCAGCCAGGGACACAGCACAAAAACTACCTTTCACATCTCACAGTTAGCTAAAGGTTAGTGCTTGCTGACCCACATTTGCTAAAAGAAAACACACTGGATTTAAGTAACTGACAGTTGCTAATGGTTTGCTGACTTATTTTAATAATGACCAAGCGTATTACTTTGTATGTTCGGTCCTCATTTTCTGCTTCAGAGCTTAATGCATTGTGCTATCCTTTAAGTTAACTCTGATGTGTGGAGCTATTGGGGCTCAGTTGAGTATCCAAAGAGTGGTTTGAAAAGTGGTAGCCCATGCTCCATGGATACTCAACATTCAAATGACTTTTGCTATTTGGGATTTCGTTAAGATTCTTGAAAATAGCAGAAGAATTTCATTCTACGTAATAATAACTTATGCCATAATGTGATCCACTGTTGTGTTCTAAACAAAATCAAAAATCAGGTGACAGTTACGAATCTTTTCAGTGCTCACATAAATGAAGTAGAAATTTGGTGAAGTGGAAAGTAGCGTGACATCAGAACCTCCAAACTGCACAGTTTTAGTTACTTTACATTAATTTTCAAAACTCTGAAAGAGAATAAACTTTCAAAAAGCTGATTGCTAACAAGATGTCATTAAGCCTTTTTTCTACTAACAAACTTATGAAGTTTTAGGTAATTAGTTAGGATATTCAACTTAAGGGAGCTGCTTTTCTAAAGCTTAGAACCGTATAAGTCTTGACCCCATTTTAGTGGCAGATGGAGTAAAGGAAACAGGTTCTTACAAGATCAGCTTGCTCCTTCAGCCTATAGTCACATGGAATAGATTTTTTTTTTATGACCTCTATTTTTCCATGCAGTAAGTCACTTTGGTGTGATCACTATTCTTTAAAGCTTGCCAGATTTCTGACAAATCAGGAATTTGTGAGAAATCCATCAGTCTTTTTTGAAGAGCCCTCACAACATGGTGAAGTTCAAAACAAAGTGATTAACACAAAGTTCAAACAGGAGGCATTGTCAAACAAACAAATGGACAAGCACTACTTAGAGAAAAAGAAGTACAGATTACCTAAACTGGGTTAAAGGAAACTGATTGTTGTGTTGATGGGCGGAGGCTGGATGTAGACATAAAAAGCCAAAGTCGCATTGACCTGATACAAATTAACCCTATGATTATAAATAATCAACAAAAGACTAAAACGGATGATGCACTTAACAATAGTAAAATCCAAAAAATATATATATATTTTTTGTCCTCAAAAAAACATCCTAAATACATTTCAACAAATGGAAAAGACATCAGGGTATTGGCATGTCTACTCCAAAATATTAACTTTATTGGCCATAAGCTGCTTTGTGGTTACCTTGCTTGTTATCCATTTACATGTCTATTTGTGCTCTAACTTATAGCATTGCTTTACTGATGTCTTGAAATATGTCCTTAATACTTAATATTGACACAAAATGTTCTTTCCTTATGAATCCATGTATTTAATGAAGCACACTTGCAATAAAAAAAAATAAAAAATCAACACAACCTGGGGGTGCTGTGGTGGTGCAGAGGTTAAGAACAGCCCACGTGTGGAGTTCTTAGTCCTTGACTCGGCTTTCGCAAGTTTGATTCCTGGCCAGGTGGCCTTTGGCGCATGTCTTCCCCCTTCTCCCATTATCCACCTTCCTGTTAATTCTCTATCAAATAAAGGCCACAAGAGCCAATAAAACCTTAAAAAAATGTATCAAATAAAAACATCAACTCAACATAATGCTGCCACTTTGTCACTTAGGATGGTGTTCTTCACCTTCCAACCTTCCTTTTTCTTCCAAATGTAATAATTGTAATAATGGCCGAATATCAGAGCTGAAATCTGGCGTTTTTATGTTCCTGTTGGGGTTATGACTTCTTCCTCCTCGAGTGGCCTTTAACCCATTTTGGTACAAAACTCAATGTTTCCTTGTGGATAATGACACCAACTTCAGCCAACCTCTTTCCGATGTATTTTGCTTTTGTTCTGGGTTTTAGATGCACTTTTCACACCACAACATGCCCATCCTGGATACAATATGACAGCTGGTCATTCCCACACTGTTTATGCTTGCTATAAGTATCTGAACAAATGAATATTTAACTGTCAGTCATTAAAAACACCCGAGAGTTAAACAGATGTGTAAAGGTCAACAAGTATCCAAATATATCAAATATGATTTTGGTGTTGACTCAGCATTCATCCACAGTGGTGTCGTTGTTTTGCTCAAATGTTGTTAATGAACCCATGACAATCTTAAAATGCCATGATATTATCATGATCTAAGTTTTTCACAAATATTGTGTCTTTAAACATTTGTTTAAAGACATAATACATAGTGTGCAACAGGATACAGAAAGTAACACAGACTGCTCTTAAAACCATCTATTTATTCTGGCATTTGGCAAATTGTAATAATTATGGTATCATTACTAACCCAAAACAAGAAAAGTTTCGTCTGGTGTCACAGTGAGGAATAAAAAAAGTGTTTTGTACACATTGATACATTTGAAACCTTATTTAAGATTTCAAATGTGCAAATATCCATTTAAACGTGTGATTAATTGTCTATATAAATAACTGAAAATAGAAATGTGAGTTTTACTATATTTTCATTTGGACCATATGTTCTTGTATGGTTTTATGTCTGTCAGAACCTCTTAGTGTGTTGGAAAATTTAAAAGTAAATATAAACGATGTAGTTCACTTGAAAAAAGAAAAAATCAACAACCTTAAACTGGGAAGATGGAATAGAAAGATAAAAGGATGGCATGCTACTAACTAATGTAGCTGACACACTTCTGTCAATAAATTGATTCCCCTGAAATGCTTGTATATCTTAAACCAGGACAGCAGTCCAATTAGATGGTCACACCACAACCTGAGTTTGTCTTAACTCAGTAAAACTCAGACGCCGTTAGAGCCAGCTAACGGAGTTATTCCATAATAACGCGTCTGACAGGTGTCTTCTGCCAGAACGCCATTAGTTAATGAGATGCTCTGCCTCACCTGTAGCTCATTCGTTTACTCTCCGCCTCCACTTCCTCTTCCACGCTCCTAAGGTTTTTCCCTCTGCCTCTGCTGGGGTGGGCGAGAAGGAGGACAGGGATTTCAACTCTTGTGTGTGTTCTCATTCAGTGGGAGTGGGGAGTGTCAGGCGTGGTAGTTTAACATTCCAGGAATCAAACCTCATGTATGTGTGATTCTATCCATTGTGCAGAGGAGGGCAGTGAACGGCTAACCCACTGCATAACTCTGGAGACATTCCCCCCAAACACAAACATACTGTAAGACAACTTGCAACAGATCATCTTGTTGCAAGAGAAAGAAAGAGTTTCACTTGTGCTGTGGGCTAATGGTGATATTAATGTAGCAGAAACGCTTGTGTGTGAACTGAAATTTCAAATTCTCCGGCCAGCGTGCCTTCACTTGTTGCTGGTAAACATCTTACATGCTTCTTGTAGTCATCCTTTGCCCAGCTTGTACAAAAAGTGTTCAACCGAGCTGCAAGATGGCTCCTCTCCAAAACTATTTCCCTCCACGCTACAGAGGATCCTCAAGCCTTCTCTCCTTATAAGCATTTCACTGCCGCACACAAACACACGCACATGCTCTCCCAAAACACACATGCTGCCATCCTCTGTGCACACATGTGGGTGGAAGGAGAAGGAGAGCAGAGGAGCAAAGGAAAAAAAAAGGGAGAGAGAAAGAGAGAAGAAAAGTCCTAGCCCTTTCCCCTCAGATGGTGGAAAGTGAAACTTTGGAGTTTTTCTTCCTCCCCCTCTCTGCAGTGTTTGATAGTGTAGCACTGGCAGCCTCTGTGTGCCCCCCTGCCCACTCTCTCCCGTTGTGTTCTGGTGGCCCAGCTGCTAGCAGGGTTGCAGTTGTACGTGAGTGGGTGGGTGAGACTCGTTTCCTGTGCTCCTCAGGGCTCCGCTCCAACAACTACTGCAGCTCACTCCGGCCAGGGGCCACGGGGGCCACTGTTCATAACAAACAGGGCACTGGTTCCTCTCCTCCTCTTCCTCTTCTTCCTCCTCATCTACCACCATCACCACCACCACCACCACCACCCCATCTGCCATCATCAACATCAGCATACAGCCCACCCTCTCCGCCCACACCACTGCACCTATCCGAGCCTCGGCCCCTGGAGGCCCCTGGGCTGCGGGCCGGGGCGACACTGCTGCACTCAGAAGGACTGGACATGGAAGTAGAAGAGGCTCCCGAGGGCACAGAGCTCTCCGCCTTGCCAGAGGTAAGCACACCGAGCCGAGAATCTCCTCCACAGTGCAGGCTGCTCACTGGGTGCCACTCTGCCTGACAGATGAAAGTTTGAAACAAGGAGTTTAGCACCCAGGGGGCTTTTACACACTCAAGGGGGTTGAGACTAGCATGGGCCGGTTAATGGTGGGAAAGTCTAATAATTTTTTTTTTATAGATATATTTTCAAAACATTTTTTTTGTCATATATTTACTTGGATTTAGAGTGAAATTAGATGCTACAGAGAGAGTGCCGAAGCAAAAAAAATATTGCCTTCCTATTGAACATTAAGTAGTGCCACGTTCCCCCATTCTCCACCTGTTTTCTCACACTGCCTGTAAGCTGGCTGAAAGAAACTTATCGCACTTTTTTCTTAGCTTCAGCAAAGACATATTTAACTTTTAAGAACAGTTAGTGATGGCGTGAACACTAAAAGTGCTTTAGCTGCCTATTAATTTAACATAATGCTTGTTATAGTCACATCAATACTCTACAAAGAGCAGAACAGCATAATATTTTGCACAATAAACACTGGAATAGGGCATAGTTTTAGTATCTATTTATTATCTGTTTCTGCTTAAATCGTGCCATTAAAATCATAACATATTTCAGAAAGGAAAACAGTCTAAGGGCAAGGTTCTCTATTGGACTGCTTTCCTCAGAGTCAGAGGTCAATTTATGCCATAAAGCTACAGTTGGTAAATTTTTTAAAAATATATGTTTTTTATATATTTGTCAAAATTGACATGTCAGTAGGATGACCATTTGACCAAAAAAATTTTAACTTTTTTCACAATTCATCTGTCTGGGATTATACTGTCATGACACAGTGAAAGTTACTAACTGAAGCTTCAAGATGAGGAGTATCTTGTCTTTGGAAGAAGATCGAGTGGAGCAGGAGCTTTAGTGACGATTTTACATTACCGCTTGTCAGGGTGGAAGGAGGTATGAGCAATAATGCTAAGCTCTCTAATCTCCTGTTTGTCTACGTTTTAGCACTCACTTATAGACATGAGATGCAGAAACATGAGACCCAGAAAAAAAAGTGGTAGAATACAGTTTTCCCACAATGTTGCTGATCTCAGACTTCGCAATAGGGTGAAGTGTTCTGAGCTGCACACTGAAAGGAGTCACTTGAGGTGATTCAGGTATCTAATCAGGATGCCTCCCTTTGGAGGTTATCTTGAGATGTCATTCTGGGAGGAAACCACGTGGCACACCAAGAACTCATTAGAGATACTATGTTTCCCTGGGGATGCCTCGGGATCCCACCAAATCAAGATAGGGAGGAATGTCCAGGTTCCCTTCCTAAACCTGTAAAACCTGCAACTCAATCCTGACCACCAGAACACTGACCTATGCGTAGATATAAACAATCCATTGTAGTTTTCTGTCCATAACAAAAGCAATTACAGTATTTTTGTGTCAGTACAACAATGCTGTGAATTAGTGGCACTTTAACGTCAGGTTATCATACCGTGAGAATCTCTTACCGGTCCATGCCTCATTGAGAGATGCAAATAAAAAAATGAAAGTTGATGTGGGGTAATTTTTCATCATATTGCACCTGTATCTCATTCAGCCCTTTTCTGTCTCTCTTTTTTGTGTGAAAATGCTACATTTCCTGCTGTACTGAAGTTAACAAAGCTGCCTGTTTTTTTTTTTTGTTTTTTTTTTTGCTTTTCTTTTATGCTTTTGACTCAGTTTCTTTCAGATCGCTGTCACCCTTCCCTCTAGTCTCCTTTCTCAGTCAGACTTTTAATATAGCTAGACCCAAGATTGCCTTGAAGCAAGAGGTCTTTGCATGGCATTAGAGATAATGTAGTTTATAGTGGTTACATCAGAGATGACACCTTTAGTCACAATGGCAGCGTGCGCCCAGAGATAGCAGATAACGAGCAAAGGTAGTGTGATGAGACCGAGTAGAATCAATACTAGAAGACAAAAAGAGGTTTGGTCTTGTGGCTCAGGAAATTGTTTGTTCTGCTGTGTATGTGTGTGTGCGTGTTTGCGTGTGTATGTGAAGGAGAGTGGGCGTGTGTGTGTGTGTGTGTGTGTTGTGCCAGTTTGTGTGCGTGCGAGCAAGCATTTAGGAGCAGCATTTGATTTCAGTGGACCTGCCTCCCAACAAGCCTTCCTATCTCTACGGACAAGCCATCTGTTTGCCCAGTGCATGGTGTTCTGTTCTTAGAGAGGAGGAGGAGGAAAAGTGAAGGAGCTAAGTAAATAGGCGGGGGTGAAGGAATGGCACGGGTATGGTGTGGATAGACGGGGGTAGAGTTTTACTCTGGTGCAGAAGGGATGAGATGGGTTTTGGCTGCACCTTACTGAGACCTCAAAAGATGTGTGAGCATTAGTTAGATGGAAATAAAAAAAAGTCAGTTCTTTAGGGATTTTATCTTGCATCTTTTCTAGCTCTTCTTGTTTCAACACATCAGAATCAAATGGTTCATTACCAGGCCTCATTAGAACTTAAAGACATGCAGAGAAGTAATTTAATCGTTTGAAGCATGGACAGTTGCAGAACCACAACACTTGAGGATTGTAGTTTCCCATCCATGGATAAAATGGATAGTTTTGGACTTTTGAAGTGAGATGTAGGTCACCTGCAGTAGATACCTCTCTCGGGAAGTTCATTAAATGTCAATTTTATCTGATCCTGCAGATTAAAGCTAATGGTTTGCATAGAGGGTACAAAACCAAAGCTGATTCTTAATATCTTAAATAACTCTAAAAGAAATAAAAAAAACAAAAAACATCCCAGAGGTTTAATGAAAATGATATATATTGAGCTGTTAAACTGTGGTAATGTTTGCCTTTGATGATGATTTTCACCAAAACCAATAACTTTTGCATGGTTAATGAAGGTGGCAGGTGGGGTGCCAAAAGTGATCTTCCTGTGAGAAATATGTACGGAAACATCGGTGTGAAACTATACCTCAGATGAGTCCATTTCTAAAAATACCGAGGGACGCATTTTAAATTCACTGCTTTCTTCACTCCACAGTTGAATATTTTTTACATGGTTATTTGTTTCCTGGATAACAACTATCAGTTTTCCAGATTCCCTGTTCCTCAGATTGAACAGTCCAGTGCCTCTAAGCGCCTGTAAATACAGATTTTCTACCAACCCAAGTGGAAATAAATCCCTTTTTAATTAATCTGAAACATTCAAATTGAAGAATCTCAAGCTGATGGACTTCTAAATTGGGAACAATCGAACAATTTTAGGTCGTTCACTCTCTAAATACCTGTTGGGGAGGATTTCATGAGAAAGAACAAAAAGCTGTTAGTTGGTGCTCGAGACATCCTGACAACTCATCTTCGAATAAAGACATAAGATCAAGGTGTCTTTGTTCTAATTGGGCTGAAGGATAAGCAAACTCCACAAAAGATCTACAAAAATCTGGACAGCGGGTGTACTTTAAGCATATTTGATTACTCAGTTACTTGTATGTTTGATTATTAAAATATTCAATAGCTGCAACTTTACAAAGAACAGAAGATGTAAAGCATTGTCAGTCAGAGTAACTGTATAATGTAAAGGTGAAAACCTAAATTATTCTTGTGCTTTAAGGTAACACTGTTTTATTGAATTTACATGGCTGTGCTTTTCTGCAAGGTCGCTGCTCTGACCAGAAACTCTTTACAGGCTTTGTTCTGTGTTTCACACAGGAAGATCATTGGTAAAATAAGCCTTTTCACTAGTTTTTTTTTTTTTTACCTTTTTTGTTGAGGATTTTAAACTGATAGAAAAAATTGAGAAAATTTAATCTGGAATCCTGGTCTTTGTCAATCTCTGGCTAGCTGTTAGCTTTAACCTCATGGACAAGTAATACAGACTCATGCTAAAGTAAATGGCTGCAGGTAGCCTTCCAACAAACCTAATTTAAAAAGTCCTTAGTGTTCCCATTAATAACATCACTACTTATCAGTGACAGTCCTTAGAATGACGTAGTATCTTAAACTCTTTTATGACTGCAGTTTTTGTTGTATGCTCTGTCTCTCTGTTTCTTTCGCTATTAAACTGTTTTTTTTTTTTTTTTGCATAATTATGGCCATGTTTTCCTTTTTTGAACTTTTCGTTTCTTCATATCTGGTATATTCATGTTAAATAAAGGGTTTGCTTTCACAGTTTTACCCCCTCCCTGCCTTCTGCATGCCCAGACAACATTCCTTACAGATTGCATAAATGTGTGTCGCATAACGGAATATTCTGTGCTTACAGGAGAGGATAAAGGAGAGAGAAGACATGAAGGACTACAGCACAGGTAAAGTTCATAACTTAATATAGAGATTGTATCAAAATTGGAGTTCCATATTTGTTTCTTACTTAAACTCATTTCTATTTCAGCTTTGGAAGGTGACCAGTCCCCTGTCGAGAGAGATCAGATGGGCGAGGGGAGTTGTGCCGGTGGCTCGTCAGTGCCTGCGTCAGTGTCCGTACCTGGCATGGGATCTAAAGGGCCGCTCGCGCTGGGTGAGGAGGCTGGATCAGGGGAAAAAGTCCTGCCAGAGCACGGTGGCTTCTCACAGGGGCTCGCCTGCTCCCTGTGCAAACGGCTGTTCAGCAGCCTGGAGCATCTCAGGGAACACGAGTACCACCACACCCTGTCTCTGATGGCCCTGTCCCTTGACTGGCCAGGCATGCCGGGTCCTCTCCACCAGCCAATCCAGCCGCGTCTCCAGTCGCAGCCCCAGCCTCCCCTCTTCAGCCAGTCTCTCTACCGCCCCGGAGTGGGTGAGCCCGTTCCAGCCCGCTACTTCTGCTCCCACTGCCCTGCCAGCTTCACCCTCAAATCCAATGCGGACCGTCACGAGAAGACCATCCACTTTAAGAAGAAGCTGATGCAATGCGTATACTGCCTGAAGCACTTTCGGGATCGCACAGACCTGCACCGGCACCTGTCCTCTGTGCACTCCAAAGAGAGAGGCCACACCTGCCCGGCCTGTGCCAAGGCTTTTAGCACCCAGAAGAACCTGGCAACACACGTTAAAGTGTGTTGCCAGGTGGCCTTAGTGCCAGGAGCCATACTGGGAGGCAGCACTGGAATGGAAATGTCTCAGGGTGGGCTTACAGACCCGCTGTGGCGGCTCAACCAACACCTGAAAGTTGACAATTACAATGGCAGTATCGACGTGGAAGGCTTGTAGAGTCACTCATACCCATTTGTAGTTAGAATTATACTTTCACTTGCATTTCACATTCATGCCAAAAATGCTTTGTGGTGTTATTCTCTTGGAATGGAAGGATTCCTCATGGTCAAAAGTGTGGAGCACTTTTTTTTTTACACCTTGTTAAATATCATGTCATTAGCATTATGTAATAATAACCCATTTAAACTTGTGACAATTTGTCAGAAGTGCACAATTGCTATGCAAAATGAATCCAATGGAACACCCATTAAACTTTTGACCCATAATTTATGCAATGTTTGAATAGTTTTAGTCAGAACTATCTGAACCCATAAACCAGGTGAGTAACTTTTCACTGCTGTGCCGAGCCGAGAGACAGAGGGTGTATTTTCACTTCCTCAACTTTAACCACTTGTCTGGTTCTCCGTCGCCAGTCACCACTGTGACTACGCTTTCATCTCCTTTTTAGGCAGAGATCTCAATCTTTGTGTCCACCCATGCATTACACGCACAAAGACGTTAAAGCAGAACCCATACCTGTCAGGCATAGTGGGTTGAAGCCCAAACAACCACACCACCTGCAGGAACTTTGCAGGATTGCAAAAAGGGAAGAAAATAAGACTTTTTGCACCTGAGTCACAATTATATAGAATAGGAAGATAATTTCTAAAAATCCTGTGACAGGTCCAGATAAGATGGACTCACAGCAGTTGCTCTGACGTGACTATATTGAGTCAGAAGCTGTCAGATGAGCGCAGATGGAGGGGATGTGCCGAAGAAGACAAAGCCTGCTAAAACAATAGGCCAGCAGCAGCTTGGATGGGGGTTGGTTGGTGTCATTTTCTCTCTTAATTCCGGCCACCTTCTTAGAACCAGATCTGTGAGTGGCGTAGTGGCCGAGCAGGGCAGGACCTGGGCAGTAATCGGTCCTCCACGGCTTCGGCCCCCTCTTGACCTCTTGACCCCCACATCTGAAGTGGAAGTGAGGGCCGAGGGGCAGAGGCCTGTTAAACCGGTGGAGCTCAGTGATGTCACGGATGCAGAGCGATAATGGCGCTGTGGTGTGCTCGGGGCAGAAAATGGGGAATCAAGTGAGACAAGTGGAAAAACGCATATGAATAATAATAAGGGAGACAGTGAGGGCTGTGTTGGTGAGCAGCAGTTGGACTGAACAAGAGCTTGACAATCATTGCTAATGTGAATTCGCACCAGTTTCTGCCAAAACACTTTTGTTTTGAGTTTACGATAGTTGGGCAGCAAAATATAGTAAAACCCATAATTGAAAATCCAACTTTCTCAGTAAATGTATTTGTCACTGGGCTATTGAGATGAAATTCATGTCAGATGTTGGCAACAACCTAAGCAATACACACATACAAAGAACCACAAATTAATTTAAAAATGTGTGTGTGATAAAGTGGATTGACAAAGAATTACTATAAGTACAAAGAAACCTTTACTGAAATGTATCGAGTATTTACTATCAAAACGTCTTTTTAGAAAAACTAGTGACATGTATCACTCTGGTATAATTTTTTACCCTTATTTCAACAAAAAATGGCTTCAAATCTTCAGGAGGTCTTTATGCACTTTAGTTCTGTCCACATATAAATTGTATACAAGTTAAGTAATTGACTGGACCAATCTAGAAGCTGTCTGTGGATTTTAAGTTTTTGCTGTTGTGTGTTTGGGAACATTGTAGGACTTAAAAACCCACTTACTTCAGGATCTTATGAAGGATGTCACGGTAAATTTCTCCACCTATCCTTCCTTCATCTCTATAAAGTCTGCTGTATTTTGAAAACCATCACATGACATACGCACTTTTAAACATCACTGTTGGCGCAGAGATTTTGTGGTGAAGTTCAGCATCATTCCGTCTCCAAACACACTGGGGCCAGTGACATCCAAAGAGGGTCATTTCAGTCAGAATGACCTAACTATATTATTTCATTAGCCTGTCCAGATGTTCTGCTGCTAATTTTGAAAGAGCTTTGAATGGTTTTTTTCTCCAACGGTGGAGTGTTGTGCAGTGAGTGTCAGTGAGTGTGCACAGTGGCCATTTGGTGGTGTGCTTGCCTTTTTGTTTTTGGTCTTTCTAAAGTTCCCTGTAAGTGACCCCTGGTCCTTAGATTGTTCTTCCGATTTTGTCTTGAAACAAACACCTGGATGCGGCATGTATAAAGTAAAATCATAATCTTTCCATGCCTGGATTTTTAACCTGTACGGTACACACTGAAACTTTAGGAGATTCAGAAAGAGCTCCAGGAGTAATGTCTTGAAGCTTGTTGTGTGATACCTTGGTAATGAGAAACCTTTCTATAAGTCATCATTCAGGACCAAAACAACCGATATTTTCTGACGATGATAGGCTGGATTTTTGCTTTCTAAATAATCAGAGGTTTTATTTGTTTTTCTTGGGTTTTTGTGCATTGTTAAAGCTTCTCTGCATCATTACTACCCTGCGTTATTTCATTTTATTTCCTATAACGTAATTCGTAGACGTATTTCTTTGTGGTAGTGGATTATTTGGGATTTTTATCAACATCTGCTTTGAAACTTTATGTCTATGGAAACATTAGAAACAAATACACTGAGAAAAACTATTAATTTTCTATATGTCCTGCCATATTGTCATGTTACAGCAAAAGTTTCTTAAATACACCCATACTTTGAATACGATACCCATTATTCAGGTATTCACCTGCTTTTGTCTTTTCAGGTGCTCTTTATTAAAGCAGAACTTGAACCCATGGGAGAATTTGTCCCTTTTCTGTTGCAAATGCACAGAAAATTCCCAACTGCCAAATGCTTTATGAAACCCCATCTTCAGGTAGCACAATTTGCAGCTGAACAGAGTTACAGGTTGATGGAACTCAGGAACTGAATGGGAAATCTGCAGAGCTAGTTGTCATGTTGTGGTATCTGTGCATTTGAATAAGTGTTGTAAGTACAGAAAGTCATGTCCAGATTTAGGCAGAATAATGTATCTTTGAAACCCATGTACTGTTCAGACACCTGTATGTTTTTTTTTTGTTTGTTTTTTTTTTTAATTGTAGAATTTATGCTGTGATTAAATTATGGTTGAAAAATGAAATTTTGGTGCAGCTCCTTTTTTCCCCCCATATTTGTGTTTTTGCACACATGCACACTGACATTCACGAGAATTCGTCTACTTCAGAATTTGAAAGCCTGACTCTGTTGTGCGGTTTATTTGTCCTTGCATGTTTTTTTCTTCTATTTCTTTCCTGTTTTTTTTTTTTTTTTTTGATGTGCTGTCAAATGTTTAACGAGAGCCGAAGCCGATGGAGGTAATTACAAGCGATGACCCCCTCCTTTGTATATACAGTAGATGTGCACAGTGTGTGTTGTGCCTTTAAACCCCCATCACCGTAAAATACAGTTTCCCCTCCATCGTGTTGCTGATTTTCTTGTCGTTGTCTGTGTTTGCCTTTCTGTCTGTGTTCTCGCAGTCCACACCAGAGACCTTCTAGAGCACCTTAGGCAGACTCAATGTAGTGTCATGTGTTTATAGTATCGCTATGCCTTTATTGCTTTAGCATGGAGGAAGAGCTTGTTTCCAGGGCAACTGTAGCTTTGCCTGGGATTGGGATGACCATGGGAATTGATGTTACATTTCTAGCCGACGCTGCTAATTAAAAGCAATAACTGAAAAGAGAAGTAATGTTTTTTTCTTTTCTTTCAAAGCTAATCTTCTGCTCCTTCCTTTTCTTTTTCTCCTCCCTTTTTTCTGTCCTTGCAGTGAACGACTTCACAGTGATCCGTAAAAAGTTCAAGTGCCCATACTGCAGTTTCTCTGCTATGCACCAATGCATCCTTAAGAGGCACATGCGATCCCACACCGGTGAGAGGCCGTACCCATGTGAAATTTGTGGCAAGAAGTTCACCAGACGGGAACACATGAAGAGGCACACGCTGGTGAGTGCTGTCTTGCAGCCATTGCCCCCTAGGGGTGTCCTGTTGCAAGTGTGCATGTTTCATCAAAAAGAAAAAAAAGAAAATCTGTCATTCCTTTTAAAAAACAAAATTTATATTTTATGCTGGATTTTCTGTTCTGTTTGATGATTATGGCTTATAGTTATGAAAACTTCAAATTTTAATTCTTAGAAAGTTTGAATATTACACCAACCAAATATAAATTGATAGAGAAGTTAAAGCCACTCAAATGTGGTCATTAAGTTGAGTTTTGATACTTTTGATGGTGTGAGCAGGCTGATGAAATTAGCATCCTCATAAAGCTTGCCAGCAGAGGGAGCCATCTCTCATTATCATTGAGTGTGTAAACGACACTCTGGACCCCACACATTTAGGATTTGGTGCCTTTACCCCATTCTGCGAACTGGCAGCTTCTTTAGCTTCTCTTTGATCAGTGATCTATTCGACACCTGTCAAGTTGCTACTCCTCCCCATAATTGTATGGGCCATAAAATGATATTTCTGTTAAAAATAAGTTTTTAAAATGGACTTTGTAATCTTAAAATGTTCTTAGAAAATTTGCGTTTTTTGTTTTGTTTTTGTTTTTTATCTCTGAGCCATAAATATCGATATGAACAAAAATTAAATACTTGACATACATTATTATGATATGCCGTGCATAATCATGATGTATAATGTATCTATTTAAATGAGCTTTGCTTTTAGAACTGAATTACTGAAAGCTTTAAAAAATAATTGCAATTGAAAATGTCACTGAAAAACATGGAATGGTGTGTCTCCGTCCCACAGGTCCACAGCAAGGACAAGAAGTACGTGTGCAAGGTGTGCAGCCGGGTCTTCATGTCCGCCGCGAGTGTTGGGATCAAACACGGTTCTCGGAGGCATGGGGTCTGCGCCGACTGCTCGGGCAGGGGCATGGCCGCACTGCTGGACCACAACGGGGAGACGGGCGGGGACATCTCCCCCGAGGAGGAGCTTTATCCTGGGGACCGGTTTCACGACGACCAGGCGGAGTGCGATGGGGACGGGGAGGGGGAGGAGGAAATGATGGTGGAAGGGGACGGTGAGATTTTGGGAGAAGGGGAGGAAGAGGCGGGGAAGTGGAAGGACTCAGGGATGGCCGCCGAGGCACACAGAGCACTGGACAATGAGAAGGAAGAGAGCGACTCCTCGGCTCAGGAGGGGGAGCAGCATAATGGGAGTGAGAAGGACTTTGCTTGGATCTCGTAGAACCCGTCAAGCCTCCTGCTTGTGGCTCGTCAACCAATCTCTGGAGATCTCCTCTGATCTCTCAGGCAGATTCCTCTGCTCACTTTACCCACTCGCCCACCCACTGTGGGCAGGCCTTCCTTTGTACGGAGATGCTGTAGGGTGATGCACGACAATGATCGAAACACTCAAACACTCCACACACACGCACGCACGCATACACACTTTCTCAAGCTTGACCGCCATAGAAGAAGAGTAATCAAGAGATGGCTTGAGTGCAAGGCTTTTTTTCCGCTTACCTCCTCCACTTCAGATGCAGTGTTTTTGTGTTTCTTCTTCTTCTCGGGGGTTCAGGCTGGAGTCCAGGTGTTTTCTGCTCTGTCACAACAGGTATCAGGCTGCCAAGGAAGCAGCCGGCGCTAGACTGCAGCTTTGTATGTTTGCCATCACAATCTTTGCAGAAACCAAGGATCACAGGCAGAGTTAGGGGGAACAGCCAGGAAGGAGGGTGTCTCAAAGCGAGAGTCTAAATCTATTGCAAAGATCGAGTGTCAGGGTTGGGGGACTGCGAAGCCCCAAGTGACACATTTTCTTTTTTGAGTCCTACTGCCACAGACTTGCACTTTATTGACAACTGACTCCTATCAAAGTCCTGAACCCATGGTTTACATTTTTAATCTGATCTTTACTTACCTGAACAACTCGGTGACCGCACCTACCTTTAAGGATGTACCTTATGTCTTCTCTGACTGTTATCGCCAGATAGAAATCACTGAATCTTTGTGCAGATTGCTGATCATAGAGCCTATGCCTTTTCAGTGGGGTCCTTAATCTTTTCTTCTGTTAAGTTCACCACCTGGTTTCTATTGATCCATTCCAACAGAAGCTGGAGATTTGTACATAAAGATGTAAAAGAAAGGGAAAATAAAGGCTGTGTGAGACAGAGAGAGACAGAGAATGAACTTTGCTTTCACAAATTGGGGAGTTTAAAACAAAACATTTTTCTGCTCTGACAGTCGATACGAGCACACAGTGGACCTACCTTACACTAACAAACACTCTTTGTCTCTCTCGCTTGTCTCTCGTGCTGAAGTTTGTGAAGATAGGACCTGTGAGCCAAGTCTCTCACACCTTTTTTTTCTCTCCCTGTTTCTATTCTGTTTTGTTTGATTTCCTCCTTCCTCAGACGTGTAAATTCCAGTTTCTCCACACAGAATATGCAGACACTTTTCACGGTTACTCTTTTGCGTGCTCCAGTTCCTCCTGCTTCGTGAGGTGTAAAGAAAAAGGATCAACGTTGTGCGTAAAATTCAGAGATTTCAGTATTTGTAGAGAGTGTAATATTGATTTGTTATTTATTGAGAACCATTTTTTCCCCCTCTCTGTGTCTATGTGTGTGTGCGTGTGTGTGTGTATGTCTGAATGAGGGTCTGGCATTTAGAAAGAGTCTACACTGATTTTTAAGATTATTTCTGAATTTTTTGGGAAAAGTTATTGACAATTCAAGTGAGGCCGGTGACATGTCTTATTATGAATAACTATGATTATTGTTGTTGATGTTACTATTATTAATTATGCTTATTAAGTGCTGGATGCTAAGCTTTACTGTGTGTGTTTCTTTTTTTTTGATATTTTATATCTTGTACAAAAAGAAAGCTTTTATACTTTGCCTTGTTGTGGATGGCAAGACATGGGGCTTTATATCAACCTTTTATTGTGTCAGTTTACCCTTTTTTTCTGTCGTATTTACTTCTTTTTTTTGTACTATTGAGGGGGAAAACACATTCACTGTCCTGCTCCTCTGTTGAATATTGATTGAAACATTTACTCAGCTTATGCTTTTTACACCACTAATGTACACTAATTGATTATTATGGAACCAAAAAAAAAAAAAAGAGAAAAATATACCAATCTAGTACTTTTGTATACATGAAGTGCTTTTGTTTTGCAGTCTGTGTTTTAACGAGTGCTTTTTGCCTTTATAGTCGTGGTGAACGGTTCGTTGTTGGGTTGTTTTTATTTTATTTTGGGGTTTTTCCCACGAGCCTGTCGCTGTTCATCACAATCGGATTAAAGAAGTGCACACGTTTGTTTTGGGGGTTTTTTTCTGGGTTTTTTAAAATTATTGTTGTTATAAATGAAGGGCTGCATGAGAGGGAAAAGCTAGTTTTTTAAAGACTGCAAGCAGATTAGATTTTTATTTTATTTCTTCAGTTATAGTGATACATAGTAAGGCAGCTTGCAGACTAAACACTCCTCTCTAACGCCAGTGTGTTGAGTCTGCAGTTTGGATCTCAATCTTAAGAAAAAAAAAATGAAAAAAAGTGCTGCAGCTGTGACATGTTGTGGAAAATGTTGCCTGTGATGGTTGTACATGTCAGGCTCTCTGCTCTGCTGCCATGGACTGTACTTCTCATCAAAAAGAAAAAAAAAAAACCCTCAGCACAACTTGTGATGCTTTCTTCATTTCTAGCAGCTCTGCTGTCCAATGTGTTTGATCCATTCATCAAACTGTTCTTTATTTCTGGGGTTAAAAAAAAAAGACAATGGGGTAGAAATTTTGATGAATGTTAGTAATGGGTGTGGAAAGAGCCCATGATCAGTGACAAATCTCTGTCCTGCGGTGCTGTTATGGCCACTGAGAGACATCTGGATGTATGTTTGCTTCCCCTGGACCCTTCCTACCCCACACTTTACTCTCTTCTCACGACCTGTGCTGTATGTCCTCTTCCTCATTCCGGGTTGTATTTCAGGAAAACGTCCGCCATCGACTCCTCAATATGTGCCTCAATGACATTTTCTTTCACCCGCGTGCTTGTGAGAGCGACTCCGTGCAGAGATGAGATGAATACTTGTGTGTGTGGATAGAGATTACGGAGATGTGTTTTTTTTTTTGTTGTTGTTTTTTTCTCCTAAGAAGACAAATCATAACGGGGCAACTAGATACTCCCTCCTTTCCTTGACCTTTTGTGCCCCAATTCTGTGGTCTTAACTTGCATGCCTGTGTTCATTTCTGTCATACCAAAGCAACATCTTCGGCATCTGCACACGGCGGTCTCATTCCACACAATGCAAAACTGGAAATGTTTGCTCTTTTTGCAGATGAATATGGGTATTCTTTGACGTGTACAAACTGCAATCCTCATTCAGCCTGTATAGCTTGACTCACACGTGAAAATCATGAAGCCATAGATATGGGTATATCTATATTCTACTATATTTAAAAAAAAAAAAAAAATGGCGCTTTTTACTTTAGATTTTGTTCTTCTACTAAGAGTGATGTGTGTATACCTTCATATATATGAATTTATATTACTATTATATATTATTTATTTACTCTTTCAAGTTTCAAAGGGTCTTTCATTTGTAAAAGGTCACACTTGAAGCTTGAGGTTTGTTTATTTTTGTTGGGAATATTTGTTCAATATGATACTGACTTTATAATGATTATTATCATAATCCTGTGTTTGTAACAAAATGTGGTAAATAATCAGAAAAAAAAAACGGTCCTGTTTTTACTCCTGTTTTGTTGTTTTTTGGCCAGATTTAAGTGCTCTTGTGCTGATTTCATTTTTTTTTTTTTTTTTTGGTTGATAGTACTGATCACAGAACATTTTTACAGTCAACCATAAGCCTTCTGTTTCGATGTTGGGTCAAGCCCGCGAGTTGTCCAAGCCTCTTTCTAACTTCATGTTTAGTGGAAGAATTAGCTTGACTATTATTTGCAAAATCCAATCAGTCTCAATAAATTTTGAAATTGCTGCTGTAAAGACATGGGCAGTGTCTGCTGTGCTTTATTTTTTAGCTTCCTTTTGTCCACTGGGGGGCGCAATAGACAATTTAGAAAAAGAAAAAAGTAATCCGTTGGGAACATTTTTGTCAAATGTTCTTGATTTTTTTGTGAAGTTGTGGAAAAAAAAATTCTTAAATCAGATTCCATTTTAATTTTTTTATCATTTCAAAAAGTGATGCCTGGAATTAAAAGTGTTGCCCACGGGACAGCACTTTTATTAAACCTTTCACTTCCACACAAGATTTCAGGACCAAGTGATCTCTGTCCATTTTTTCTAAATCATCAATATTTTTGTCCAAATTTGCTCATAACACACCCTGCAGACAAACCCTTTTCAATTCTCTGGCAGACCGCCATATATATCTTGTCAAATGTCCTGGTAGGGGTGGCATGACCCATTGAAGTGGCCGTCACCGATTTGAGTCCTGACCCGATGACCTTTGCCGCATGTCTTCCCCCTCTCTCACAACCCACCTACCTGTCAAACGACTGTCAAATAACAACAAAAGTCTTTTAAAGAAGTATGTAAATATACATGCGTTGTTTCAACATTTATGTTGGAATTTTCCACTTATTTCATAAAATTTCTCACGTTTAAACACTAAACTGCACTATTGTAAGGCGCCAGTCACACTATTCGCAAACTTTTCATATTTCTTCAATGATAAATCTTAATAAATGAAAAAGTTTCCTTAATATAGCAATACATCTTAATAAACTTGAAAAATACAAACAAAACAAAAAAATCTGATGCCAGACGTCTTCCATTCAGGTTTATTTTTTCTTTACCGTCACATTACATCACACAGATCACATTATAAGCATCATACATGTTCATCCATCTTTTCAAGCACAAGTCAAAGGCTTGACATTCATACGAGTACTCCTTGAGTGCACCACTGCTCAGAAAGTGCTTTCTCCGTGTGTGTGTGTGGGCCTGCTGATGGAGACCAGAAGCAGAGCCCACCCAAAAACAGGAGAAATCTTGGCCTCCAGTGAAGACCCAAAGGCTGATGTCACATTCCCACCAAAAACTCTTTCAGCACTGAGCATAGTCAGGGTGCTCCTAGTATGTTTGCTTCCACCATCAGCCTTGAGTTCCTGGATACTGAGAGGGGAAATCTAACACAAAACCCTTCAGTGTTGTATCTCCTAACATACACACAAAAATAAAGAATATGAAAAGAATGAGCAATGCTAAACATGCACAACGTCGTCAAACTCAATCAGACAATCGATGGGAGAAAAATAAAAGCGTAAGGCTCAGTAAAAAACACAACAGCACTGAAGAAAAATGGTCATCAGAGGATGGGGTTTGACAAACGCCTGGACAAACAATACAAGCACAGGAGAGGGAGGTGTGGAGCTGCCATTGCAATGAAATACATGTGATTTTGAACAAATATATATATTGTTTTTTGCTGCTGCTCTTTAGTGAACAAAATGAAAACTGACATTCAGGAAAGCAGCACATCAATTTTGACGTATTTGGTAAGAGAACAAAGAGGCTTTTTTGATGCACATTTCAAGGGTTTAGTTTAGCTTAATGTACTGGCTAAAGGCTTGGGTGGAACCACAGTGAAGCTGAATAGCACACAAAAAGGAATTGCTGCGGTGAAAGGAGAAGCGGGGAAAGACACTAACAGCATGCTGTCTGTTGGAATGCGCAGGGCAGGATAAAGACGCCCCAAAAGGTAACAATTTCCATTGTGACCAAAAAGGTTGAAAGCGATCCTGACGTGAGGACAACTTCATGTCACAACCACAAACAACATTCATGACAACAAACAGTACACAAACTCACACGAAATGACCCAGTTGGCCGAATATAGAGGACAAAATGATAAAAGTGGATCATAAATGTCACCAAAAGGCATGAAAATTTTTGTTCCGCTGTAAATAGTCATTGCACAAAGATAGTAAAGCAATACTGCATGGTTGTGTTATTCCATATGATTCATCAGTGTGGCGACAGATGTTTTTTAGGCGTTAAGAAGCAAAACAAAATAAGGACGCACAACAATTTCTCAAAATGGCTAAGCTAGCCAACAACTACACGAAAACAACAAAATGAATTTCTATAAGTTGTACATTCAACAGGTTGTCATTTTTTCTCCCCTTTGCCACTAAACTACAATATACATTGAATCAGTTCACTATAGGTTTGCAATTGCCTCAAAGTGAAAGAAAAAACATATATTCTGAGCAACAGTAATGTAAAAAAAAAGAAGAAAGTTTCCTTTTTGAATAACAAAGATACAACATAACAACAAGTGACAAAGCCTCACAGAACTCTTTATCTTGTTTATGTACAACAAGGCCCTGAAACTGCAAATGTTACCGTATGTTGTGTGTGAACTTTGCTGTTTCCCGCACACCCGTCAGCAGTTAGTGTCAATCTCCATCCACTGATTTCTAAGGAGAATACATTGTTGAAAGTAAACTTGAATTTAAACTAGAGGAGCACCGATCAGATATTTCGTGGACAATAGCGATGTCCGATTTCTTTTGAGGATCGGACCTGCTGAGTTCGATTTTGATCAAAACTGTTTTTTCACTGCACATAAAAAACGTGGTACATGGTTTTTGATAGAAGTTGTAGTTTTAAACAGAGAATCAGTGAAATACAAGATGATATACATTTGTAGCCAAGAAATGATGAAACTTCTTAAAACATGTGGAATAAAATAGATGTAACACAGCCAATTAAGCAAAAATTGGTATATTATTATCTCTGGCTATTTGATTGGTGCATCTCTAGTTTAAGAACGAGTGATCCTTGAGGATAAAAAAGTTATTAAAAATAGAGTTCCAAGCTAAATTGTTAAACGCATAGATAATGGGGCCAATTTCAACATGGGACAATCCAGTGGCACTTTTGCTTAAATGGCGGCCAACAATAGCTTTAGGTGGTCCTAATGCCAAGAGAGCAATAAGAGTTCTCTGGTGTGTTTTAACAAATAGAGTAAAAGTTTCAAAGATCTCAATGTTTATTTTTTAAGAATTTCTGTGCAGTATAGCATAATTCAGTCCAGTCTAAGAATCATAGGTATTAAACAAGTGATAATCAAATGTAGTCCCAATTTCTGAAAAAAACCTCCTGTGAAATAGCCCTTTCAACAGCACCACAGTGGATTTTGTAAATCAAAGAGCAACTTCAGCCTGCCGCAGTGTTCAGCCATATTTACAACTCTGAACGCAAGTAAAAACTTGTTTGAAACACAAATGAAAAAAAAAAAATTAATCTTCAGGCTGGCCCCAAGCTGTGGTGTTCTGGGCAGTGAGCCACATTGCTCATGACAAAAACCGCCACTATATGGGACAGTGGGGATAAAAGCCCCGTCTCCTCTAAATGGGTCCCATTCTCTGCCAACCGAAGCTCTCGGTACACGGACCTGCTGGTGTTTACATACGGGATGGAGAGACCTAATGAGTGGCTTTTCATACTCTTATCAACCAAACCAAATGTACTGAACAAAAAAGTGGTATCCAGCACTAATAATCGTATGTACATAAATGAAATACATTATCTTAGTAAAATGTCAAGAAGCAGGAGCTTTTTTTATTTTTTTAAATGAAAGGAAGAGCAAATTTGCAGCAGTGTGTTTAAAAAGCATGTGAACAATGCGAGGGGAAAAAAAACCCTCCAGGCAATGAACACTTTAAAGCATCTTCTGTTATCGAGATGATAACATGTGGCTATGTACTGAAACTGGTGTTTCCCCATCACTGCAATAAGGCTGGAACCGTTTCCAGTCCATGGCGCTCATCCTACGAAAGGCAAAGAGATCGACGACCGCCAAGTACCACACATCTCCAACTGTCGGTACTACAGTGTTAGGTACAACATCTGACACCGAGCACGAGACTGTAGCTGTCAAGATCACTTGCCATTAATGGGGAAAGCCCCTGGGAGGGGTGCTCGGCCCCCTTTATTTCCCCACTGTCAGCCTGTGAATGGATCCCTCCAGACCCATCGGAAAAAAAACGAAAAAAAAAACGACCTTTCCACTTAAAAATCTGTAAATACAAAACGTTCATGTATAAAAAACATGTCTATGCGCAGTACAGCGTAGTGCAATTTCTTTAAAGGTCATAATACCCTTTCCTTTATGTTTTAACTTTTATTGGCACTTGGTGAATTTGGTGACTGGAAGAGGCCTGTTGACCTAGCTTATCTGGAACATACCGATATATAAAAAATTTAAACGGAGCATCATGAAGGCTTGAACTGTGATGGTGACAATGTCTGCTTAATGTTTTCTTTAGCTCTCATCAATACAGGTCTTTTTCTTTTTTCCTTCTTGTAGCACATCTGACATGCCGATGCTAGAAAACAACACAAATGTTTTCACGGAGACGAGAGGTTTTATGCTTCTGACTCAAATATGTGTCAAACAAAGAAAACGTCTTCTGTGAGATCTGATCAGGTTGATGAATTAAAAACATGCAGCAGAATTTGTGAGAAGGAGGCCAATGTACAGCATACATCTCTTTATGAATTCACACCTACTGACATAATATCTCTGCAAATGTGAAAAAGAAAAAAAAAAAAATCAAAGGTCAAAAGATGAGGGGGAAAGGTAGTCAGAAATTTCTAGAGTTTAAAGCCGTATGGGGCTACTTTAAGATCTAGGACAATAGGAATAAATAGTTAAGCTAATGTTTATCCTCAGAATTAACATATCATTTTCAAGAAAAGAAAAATAAAAAGGTAGAGATTTTTTTCATACACAAGTTGAAAACTAAGTCAACTGAGGAAATTTACAAAATTTACTAATAATGGACTAAATACTTTCAAAAGATCTAAGTGGCAACCAACTTTTTTTGTTTGAATTTTTCTCTCATCAAAAGATTTCCTATCTTTGCAAGTACACCAATCGTAAGTGCTTTTTTTTCTTTTACTTTGGAAATGTAAAATTTGAAAAAACTACATTTTAAAGAGGTGGACAGCATTTAATTTTTAAGATTAAAAAGTTACTTTTTTTCTTTGCCCTGTATTTTTTATAAAAAAAATTTATCAGGTAACAAAATGGGCTCTAAAGTCAACTACTTTTATAGGTACAGATTACAAGTACTTCCACCATCTGTAGCACACCTACAGTTTTTTTTATCCCGGCCTCAGTCTGACCTCAATATGTTTATTCTAAATAAGTAAGACTCCTTTTGGCCCACACACACAAAAAAAGAAAGATTCTTGCTAGGTTTGCTTCTACATAAATCAAGGGCTCCCTGATTTGCAAAGACTCAATTCTTACTTGCTTTCTTCAAGGATTAAATATATATTTAAAAAAAAAAAATAGGACAGCCTTGGCTCCCTGCTAAGTTTAGTTTGGTATTTACAACTGATTAAATGCTCATAAACAGGTATTCTCATAGATAGCTGGATGATTACTGGAATTTGACAATTTCATAGAATTTATGCAACTGCAACCATGTTGCACTGATGACATGATGATAATGTGATAGCTTTAAAAATGTTTTAAAAATTGCAGAGTTAAGGTAATGGTCTCCATTTTCAAGGAAATACACAAAAAGACTGATTATCATTAATATAATATGCAAAAAAAAAAAAAAAAAAAATGTATAAAATACCAATGTCAAATCAGTTTAACTTTGTTTTTAGTTAGTACAACTCTAAAGACAGCTTACAGGAATAAGTATATAGACATATTTTCATGTTTCTTAATTAAAATTTTAGAGGGAATTGAAATCTAAACTTTGCATCGACAGGTCAAAGCTTTACAAAAACTGAAGTTTGGAGACCAAACCTTATATCGGTGCGTCATTATTCTAAAACTTTCAAGGTAATTTATCTTAGAAAACTGTGAGAGATGGATGTATTTAAGTTAAGATTGTGAGAATGCAGTCTCTATGTGTTCTCCCTGCATACACTATTATCATCATCCGTCAAACTATCAAGTTCAAAATGTCAAAGAGCGGTTACAGTTCACATAGCATGGTAAAAGATATCTTTAAGAACATCAGCTGTTAAAAAATAGCCTTTTGCTTCAATTGTGACTGATAACGAGAGAGAAAGAAAAATTATTAAATGCTGTCGATCCTCTGATTGCACAATGCAATTGCAAGTTGATTCAGCAGCTTACTGCTGAAAATAAACTATACAGGAAATAGATATCAACTCTCTCAGGCAAACTCGGGTTACAGTGCTACTTTAGAAGACAACTTATCTCTGAAGGGTGCATAACAAGATATGGGCATATCTATACATATATGTACTTTATAAACTGTGCATTTTTCTAAAATATTTTGGGACATCAAATGAGAACGTTTTGTACCACTTGTGAATGATTTAGTGCAGTTTTGCAGATGTAAAAAGTTGTTCTTAATTAGAGTAACGAAGTTGTTTGATCCTAAAATTCTATGTATTCAGATTTGCAGTCTATATTTTCCAGTAAAAAGGCAGAACAGTGTTGTTACATCTTAATCTAAAACTCATGACTGTAAGTTGAGAATTTGGCAGATTTGATGAAGACCCCTAAAAGGTGGCCCTGAGAAACTGATCTGCGACTGTGATTTCACTTAGCACGTGATTTTAACCATTTAACCTCGGAAAAGAGCCACAACCCATCAAACAAAAAGTAGCTTACATAGTGCTCTTACGATGAATGACAGGGTATAACAAAAAGCTTATCTGTACTCTTCATTCATTGCTTTGAAGTGAAGCAAGTGGGAAATAAAAGAATCTGATCAGCATCCAATTTGTTTTGTTTTCCTTATTTAACTGTGAGTGAATATGTCCCAGTCTAAGAAAAGTCTCCAGATCTGGATAAAGTTATTTTTTTCTCTTTGTGTGTTGTTTTGATATTCTCATTGTGTTTGGAAACTGAAAGGAGATAAGGCAACCCTTTCCCCTGCTGGCCCAGAGGAAGCAGCATTGAGAACCTTGCCCTCATCTCTTCGTGGAAAAAAAAATGTCAACCTCGCTGTCACTCCGAGCGAGGAGGAGCTCGTCTCCCACAAGCAGGGGAAGGCAACTGTATTAGTCGGTGAATCTCTGACAGGCTTTTTTCCATCGACAGGCTGTGCACCACATGTCTCTCTTCTCCATGCCGTATACCTTTCGGCACTTCTTAGCTTCCCCACGGGGTTTCCTTGGAAACAGCAGATGTGACAGTGTAAGGACATGCACAAAGACGTCACCCAGCTTCTCACACAGACACACACAAAAAAACCAACACAAAACATGCACATTCAGTCTTCTTAAACTACATCTGCCTGAATCCAGAAATAAGAAAAAAAAATTAATTAGTTGAAAATACAACCCTAACTAATTTTTTACCCCATTGGATAAAATATATAATAATAACAACAACAACAATAATAATAATAACAATAATAATAATAATAATAATAATAATAATAATAATAATATTATCATTGACCCATTGGTCATTTATATTATTTTTCTTAAGTTTACGAAGTGTTTTTCACCTGTTAAAATGGCATTCACAGTGAAAACATGTCTAAATTTGTTTCCTATCTGTCTGTGTCAGATGACTTTGTTGCCTATGTGGGAGTGAGCTACTGCAACACTGGTCACTACATTTTAAGACAGTCAATGCAAAAAAGTTCATGATTAAGAAGATGAGAACAACATTCTTTGAAGCACACACAAGTAAATGCAACTGCACTGTAGTATGTTAGAAGCAGAATTATCAACAGGTCATATTAAAACAGAGAATAAATGAAATTGTGTTAATATGGATAATTCTGTAAAGGTACGTTTCATCTCAGATATCTTAGATGCAATGCTGTCTGTCCTGCAGAAACTCTTGTTGGGTCAAAATATCTGTTGCTGACCTTCAAGAAAAAATGCTTACTGCTGGGTCAAGACAACAAAGAAACAATTGCAATATGGCAGATATGGCAATAAGGCAGGTGCTTCAAAGTAAGGATCTGTAACCATTATGTCTTGGTAAGAATTATATAGACTCTGATGACAACAATAAGTTGTGAGGGGAATGGCAAGTACATACCTGGTTCCTGCTGCCGATTTAGTTGCTGGCGTTACTAAAGCATGGTTCTTGTTAACGGTGGCGTGCGTGCTGATCGCCGGCTGCCGCTTTTCACCAATGCAAACAGTGCGAACATGTGTCACAGGGCCCTGCACAAATTGTAAAACATTTACTGACTCAGTGACGCACTAAAACAAAGACATCTCACAGGGTCAAGTTTAATGAGAAAAAGACATCTGAAAAAAAAAAGAAGAATTAATTATGCTATGTATCCCTTTTATAACTGAAGCCTAATTATTTATGTTGTCATAAATAATGACAACATTAAAATGGTTATGTCAGAAATCTTACTGATATTCTAACAATGACCTGACTAATTACTTGTAAACCTGTGAAATACAAATCTAGATTTTCAGCTCCTCAATTTTCCACATTAAGTGCCTTAATTAAAACAGAAATATCATTTATTTCTAAACTTAAAGGAAGCAAAAACAACTTGTGAAGAAAAAACAATAAGCCTACTTTGCAAGGTGACTGGCTAATAACATTTCATTTCATCAAGTTTTACTGAAATATGTATGTATTATGACATAAATGTTTCCACAGCATTTTGCAACCTTGCAGATATTTATACTTCTTTTTCTCTCTGTTTTCCGAATTTCTTCAAGCCACAGTGTCACCTTCCTGAACTCAGAACTGAGCAATATCTACAAGCGTCTTCTGCAGTCGATAGTCACATGTCCTCCAACTTTGCACAGCTGCGCTTCTGACATCAGCTCATTGTTTACCCTACTGTTCTCTGAAAGACTGCATGGTTAACTTAAGTGTTATGTTATTGAAAAGCAAATATATGCGTTTTATAACTACATTTTATGTTTCTGTAGCTCTCAAACAGGTCTGTGCCTGAGGATGTTTAAGCTCTGATATGTTGTCCTGCATTTAATGAGCACGGACTGATTCATTGTAAGCCTGTCGTCAGGTTGATTTAACTACCTACATCTACCTACATGTTTCACATCACATTCAGCGTATGAATTCAAGTACTTAACATCAGGTTCCTGGAAAATATTTTCATCTCTAGAGGAGTACAAAATCATTGCAAACAGGAACGGTAGAAAAAAAACCCTAATGTTGTAAAAGTAGACAAATACAGCTACTTTAATGCAGCAAGGACCAATAAAATCTTGTACAAAAAAAAATCAAATAGCTGTAAGTGGAAACTGCAGGGAAGGAGTGAAGATTGAGATAAAAAGGCGTGAGACAAAGCCTCACTCACCGGGGTGCCTTTAAAAATGACAGGAGGGGGCTGCTGCCAAGACACACTGATGCCATTCCCAGTCCCTGTTCCAGTTCCAGGCCCGATCCCATTACCACTGCCTATCCCAGCCAGCTCAGGACCCACTGGGATACTCACTGGAGCGGTGGCCTGGAACATGGACAACCACCCCACGCAGACAGGACAGGAACACCAAAGAAACAAGGAGGGACAAGAAATGTGCAGGGGGAAAAACAGATGAGAGGAGAACAGAGTGGAAACAGATTGTACAATTAGTGGGAAGGTATTCATTCCAGGTTTACTCTTTACTTGAGATTTATTTAAGATGACTCAAAAATTATCAAAAAAGCATTGAAAGGTATCAAAATACTATAGACAAATTGTACAATGCAGGACAAAAAGAAAACTGGTGAAGCAGTTAGATAACTAAAAATATAAGTATTTGTACATGTACTTTTTTAATATCATGGAACCATAAAAAGACAGAGTTCAACAAATGCAGTTAAAATAATTTCATTTGACCTCTGTTTATAAATAAAGGAATGTTGCAGTAAAATGAAAAGGAAGAAAAAGCAGAGGGATGTGGAGAAGATGAAGAAGGGATAAAAGCAAGTAGCAAAATCATAATGATACTTTGTCTCATAATAAAAACTTGCATAACAAGTTTTTATGCAAGTTTTCGGTCGCTGCTAACCTCCCGCATCTATTCTGGAGCAGGTTTTCTTTCTTGGTTTTACCTGCTGATCTCAAAATCTGAACCTAATAATTGGAACAGCTGCAGCATTGACATCATGAATGAAAACTCTTGTTGGACAGTTTGTATGTGTGTGTGAATTACCTGGTAGGCATGGTCAGTGCGGATGTGGCAGAGTGTGGAGGGTGCCGACTGACTGAGCAGCGACGAGGTGTGACTCTGTGAACCGTTCACGCCGACGTACTCAGAGCGGGACACATCGCTCAGTGGAGGGGGGAAGATGGGCGGAGGGCCGGCCGTGGTGGGGGAGGTAGGTGTGAGGCTGGACAAACCCTCCGTCAGGCTGTCCATGTTGACTTCAATCTCTGAGTAATAAAAATCCTCCTCTCCATCGCTGTAATCTGAGTCGCTGTTTCGCCTGCAGAGAAAAGAATTAAAATTTTCTCAAAAGCTTAAATATGTTATAAAATTTTTTTTTTTTTTTTTATCCTGAACCCAACACCCTGGCATTGAGAAATTACACATACAAGTTTTTGGTGCCTCTACTTTAACAAATTACTGTGTATAATAATAAAAATAAAAATAAATACATTATTTTAACAGGAGGGGGCAGCAAAATTCTACAATCCTGTCAGTGTGCTTTATCTTTCAATGTGGGATTGAAAGACAAACTTTTACCACTGAATGTAACCCTAAATTGTGGGCCAGAAAAGGTTCTTTTTTTATAGGTTTTAACAAGTAATTAATGTTGCACAAACATTGTTACAATAGTATCACACCTTTAAGAGTCTACATGGCAACATGTTAGGTATGTGAAAAAAAAAGAAGTCATATAAAGATTAATGGCAAATGATATCAGGAGATCATGTGAGGTCAATATTAACTGTGAAAATGACAACATGTGTTGTGATAGATCGAGTTTCCTCTCTCTTCTCTTTTACAGTTGTGCTTCCAGGACTTTCTGTGGATGTGTTAGCATCTTCAGGCCTCTCATCCATGCCAGACTCCATAAGGATACATATTTTAGTACCATGAAACTGTGACACTAAGAATAGTTAGTTAGTTAGTTATGAAAGAAAACACACTTTCATAACTACTGCTCCTTTGCAAGATTAATATTATAAACAATCATATTGTGGAAATTATATATTTGTTATATTGTCAAACTTAGGGACATATACTATCACAAACTTCTATTTTTTTATTATTATTATTTTTCTGTTGAATTTAAAATTTACAACTTTATAAAAAATCCTCTTGCAAATTTTCCACTTTTATCGTCTTTTGGTTAGAAAAAACCTTAAATACAAGTAAAGATATGCATGTTCAAGGAAAAGCTTGGTCTGTGTGTCTCTAGGGTAAGTATATCATTTTTAAAGGTTTGCAAAACACTATGCAACTTTCACAGTCTGTAGAGAGTTTGGAAAAGCCTGACGCACATACCAATAGACTGGTTTCAGCAGATTATTTTATGACAACTGATAGACTGAGTAACACTTAACTGTGTATAATGCAGGCTCATACACTACATAATTGATGCAAACAACATAAGCCAGCGGAAACACACACTTGAGAGGGTGACAGTTTAAGAATGGCAGTAGTCCACCAGTTTCTTGTTTGCCATTCATAAAACTTTAAAGGATATGAAAGAGTTAAGAAATGGGTCAACGGAGATGGATGACAATTGTTTTATTGTTGTACTCTCTCTTTAATTAGCTGTTGGAAAAACATGTTTGTAGTTGGGCCTGTTAATGCAACACAACTGCAACCAGATTTGGCTCCAAACATTCAGACATGTTTTACTGACTGTGACTGAGATCAATTTGGGTCCATTTCATAAAATGTGCATGTTTAACCCTTACAAGTTGACAGACTGTTGTGCCAACTAGTTATCCTCATTGTTCTCACCCAGTGGAAACGGGTTCAGAGCAGTGCAGACTGTGCCCAGTGTAGTATGCCTTCGGGGTAAGCAGGCTTTTACAGTTCATACACTGTGGGACTGGAAAATTAACCCTAATCTTACTATGCTAAGTGCCAGATTGCATGATAGATGGCAGCTAATATCTCAAAAGTAATCAAAACACTGTTTCATAAGCTAGTTTTGTCATATGCCAAAATCTACAATCCAAACCTAAATTTAATTTATGTTTATTTTCATGTGGTAGAATAAATAATAACAATGTATATAGCAAAAACTCAAAACTCCTGTCAAATATAATGATCATGTTTACATTTAGTGAACTGTGAGGACAAGTAGAAATTTACAACTGTCACATCAAAAGTTTGATTGTGCGAATCAAATTACTTAAATTATTGTCTGGTGGTGCTGCATATATGCGTGCGTGCATGTGTGTGTGTGTGTGTGTGTGTGTGGGGGGGGGTGCAGAAATGCAGTGAGAATAAAAACAGCATTGCAAGATATATACGCATCACACAGGGAGAAGAGAAACAATGGCTGATGTTATTATCTAATGTACAAAATTATTTATTATCTTGCATCTGACATAGTTTTGTTTTTGTTGGTTTAATGATAGGAGCTGGAGGAAGACAGACATTCTCTGCATTCCAGTGATGATAATAAAAACTTACCCCAGGTGGACGGTGCGGATATGTCGCTGGATCCCTGAGGAGGTGCTGAGGACCTTTTCGCAGTTCTTCCACAAGCACTTAAACATCACCTTCATGGAGTTCTGAAGAGATACAATTTTTTTATTTTAATAGAAGTACCCTTAGCAATATTAAAAATAAAGCCCTGTGGCATCTGCACTGGATAAAAGAAAAAGATGCAGAGTTGACTAAGATAAAAGAAAAGTGAAACCATCTCATAATCGAACAAACCCACTGCTTTTCAGATCTATAAGGCTTTTGGATTTGGATTTTATGCAGTTTGAGCTATTTATGTCTAATTAGATTTTAGCTTTTATTATTATTATTTTTTTTTTCAGAAAAAAGAATAAAAGCATCAAGTAGGACGCTTGTAGTTTTCTCTAAATCCAATAACAAGCAGAACTATTTATTTAGTTGAATAAAAATCTGATAAAGATTATTAACATATGCTTATGTGCATATGTGGGGATAATCTTCTTTTCCTTCAGTTTAAATTGGATGATACCCATCAAAGTCTAGGTATTGGCCAATAAAAGCCTGATCAGTTTATCTCTGCTTTCAGAGTACTAATACTGTAAAAACAGAAGTTATACATCATGTGATAACTTAGAACATATAAAATAAGAGATAAATATGACAGGTAAACATGAGAGATGACAGAACATAAATATGCGCACATGCTCTGAGACTGACAACACTGAAAAAGATTTGCTGATAAATTAAACCTCCAGGATGATATGTATTATTATTGAGCACACCATTAAATAACTCCCTCAGAAATGAATCATGTCCAGTTCTCTTCACATCAGACTTATCACAAAACACACAATACTCCTACTTGACTCTTAAGCAAACCTTTATGAAGAGATGGAATACATGTGGTCTGATTTTATTTCATTTTCTTATCCACATGCCAGTGCTGGCAGCAGTCCCTTAAGCAGGCAGAGACCTGCATCTGTGCTAATGAAAGATGGTGGGTGTGTAGTCTCATTGCTCTCAAACAGCCCATGAAGAAGAAAGCAAATGATGCAAAAAAAAGAAAAAAAAGAAAGGAAAAAGAGCAATGAAGCATGTTTTTAATGAACACTTTTGTTAATTTTTTCCTGAAATGTCTTCCTCTCTCTTGTTTACTAGGAACACGCTCTGTACTGAGTAGTGTTTGCGATCCTGCTGTTCATATAAAAAAAGAAAACAGCAAAGCGAGTGTTTAATCCCACTAACAATCACAAATCACTTAATTCCTTAAGAGATTTTCCTTTTAATACAGTATTTTAACACATTTACAGTAGGACTTGGGATTGCTGTTAATTTATCCTCTTAAGTCATTGCCAAAATCAGACATCCTAAAATCCAGCGTACAGCTGCTTGCCATGCAAATGTTCTAAACCTTTAGAGCTAAACTGCTGGTTCAATAAATCCCTGAAAGAGAAGAAAAACATTTATAGTTGTGCCTGAGGACAGTTTCACTTGGTGGAAACAAGAAAAAGTATCTGGAAGAACAACTACTGGTCTGGAATGACCAGACTACTATAAATGACCTTGATCCTCAATAAGGATGGAAGCAATGGATGCCACTGCTTTCAGGGGGTGGTTTCGAATGATATTATGCATTACAACAAATAAGTAATAAGTAGAGACTTAAGACAGGTTTTAAGATGACTCTGTTTGGACATGTGTCTGTACCTTTCAAAATCTGCTTTAGAGTATAATCCAATCACAGAGAAATTGGGGGATTAAGATAAGATTCTGGGTGCGGTAATGGGAAATCTCAAATACCCTATAGGAACACAGAAATGCTGCACTTATGAGTAACCCTCCAAAGAGCCAGTTAAACATTCTGTTGTAACAAAGAAGGCACCAAAACATCAGCTATTGATCAGAATCAGATGATTTTCAGCTTGGTTATCAGCCAGTTGGAAATCCAGACATCCGATCTATTTTTTTCCCCCATTTAGGAAACCCCACCAAATGTGAGGTGCAACATGATGTGCACTGACAACACTTTCAGATGTAGTAGTTGTTACGTAAGTCTGTATTTATTTTTGTATATATTTGAAATTCATTTGGGCTGCAGAAGAGAAGAGCGAGAGAGAACAATATTTTCTACAGACAACAGGAAGGCTACACATATTACAGCAAAGTTGCATTGCTTTTGGGTGGCATGTATTGTAGTGAAAGAGCAGCTCCTGGCAGTTTGATTTCCATCTTAAGACCTTTGCTGAATGTCTCCCTCCCACTCTTCCCCATTTTTCTCTTTGCCTGTTTCCTGTCTGAGTGCTGCATACAGAAGCAATAAAACAAATAAAACAATATTTTGAGCAGTTTGAGCCTTGAAACCCTGTCATGTAACATGGTAGATTTGGAAGTGCCTAAAAATAAATCAGTTCACTTTCATTGCTTGCTTTTCGATGAGTAAGATAGGTAGGCTCAACTAAACAATAGCCACTAGTCGTATATTTTTCCTTTGCACTCCCCTCTGTACTTTACATTTGATCCTTCTGGCAAGTAATAACTTGGCACACGTGGTACATTTTTTGATGGCCAAGATGAAAGCAACGCTTTTTCAGAGATAAGTATAATGTATGCAAGAAAGTATTAGCACAACGATGTCCAAAAATGTGCTTAATTTGTTGATTTTAACTTGTATGAGGATGAATGAGAGAAAATCGCTGACAAGTAGGTAAATTCAAATCTGTTAATCACAGAACAATGTGCATGTTGTCTTCACCTAACATCAGCTGCTCAAAATGAAATCATTGTTCAATGTTGAAAGGAGAGCCACTCCCTACGCTTGACACTTGACACCAACTTGCTTGAATCAACAGCTATGGAAAATATGAACACAGATTAAAACTGCCAATGCCCAACAGTGGAAGCATCACTTCATCATAAGCCGATGAGTGTAATGTGTTCTGCTTTTGCAGAGAGCACAGCTCAGGTAAACTGAAGAGAGGAGACCTGTGCATGTATATCAATGATTGTAGGTGCACAATTCTACCCTGTGATGAGACACGCATATGATTTTTCTCATTGTTCATAATTCACATGCTTTCCCAAAATAATCAACCTAAGAGTGGATATTAGTTTAGAAATAACTTGAAAGGATCAAAATAATTAAATAAATATTTTTGCTTTACCTAAACAAAACTAAACAAATTCCACCAGGAAGCTAAAATAGTGAGGATGTATGGCTCTCTTGTGTGGATCTTTCTACAAGATTGCACTACCCTCTAACCATTTACATTTAATTGTTTGTTTGTTTACCTTCATGTTTTGTGGGTCATGAAGGCTACAGTGAATGTGGCTTACAGAAAGGGAAGCAGCATCTATTTTTAATCAATAGGTATTTATCCCTTCAAGCATCATCCTATCTAATATCATGACTGGTTATCAAAGGAAAGGCGTAGCTTTGCAGAAAACTCAGAAACCTTTACTGTATATATAATTTCTCCTGCTAGTCCTTGGAGACTGAAAAGAGAAACTCCCACACAAACTGTATCTTAAGCCTCTTCAAGCCACTGTAAGTATAGCGGAAATGTACATTAATTTTTACTCCAACTGCTCCTGTATTTTTTAAGATTTTATTTAACACATGCTTTAACCCTCCACCAAAATCTAAATAATCTTCTTCGTTCTTGCTAAAGCTTCTTTTCCCCTGATAGGCCTACAAACAGTTGGGAAGCTTATTTATAGTGAAAACACTTCCACATTCTGGACTGTCTTAATAGAACAAAAACAAGATGAAGGGAAGTGAAAGAGTGAAGTTAATCTATTATTCACACAAGAAGAATGTGGCAGGCTTTATGTCAGAAGCTGTAAACTGCATGGTGCTGACATTTCTGGAATAACTGTCTTTGGGAAACAAAAAACTCCCTCACAATTCAAACCCAAATTTGAACAAAATTAATCTTTATTGTGTCCGATGCTGATCATTTTTACCTTTCGCTTTCGAGGGATGGGGTCCTCAAACATAAAATGTGTGCTCTCTGAAACATCCTCACTGGCATCATCTCCCTGGGTCGAGTGCAGGAAGCCCGTGTTGGCATCTTTGGAAAGTGGTGGGGACGGTGTGGAGGGCACTGATTGGTCACTGGCATCCCAGCTCCAGTTGCCGCTCGTCGAGCTGCTGTAACTCGCAGAAAGCACCTCTTTCCATGTTTTGCTGGCTTGCTCTGGATGCACAAAATAAACAGCAGAGTTTAAGATCTCCTAAAACCCCACTTATAAACAAATATTTCTTTACCCTAAATTTATCCTGGAATAATTACTCTTTTTTTTTTAGGGAAACAGATCAAAACAAATATCTAAGCTTGTAAATATAGAATGGGACTGACAGATAAAGAATACAATCCACTTCCAAGTACAACATGGAGCTGAATCAGAGACCAAACGTATTAACACCCATGAAACAAAAAAAAAACAAGAAACACTAGGTGTTAAGACAATGTCAGACAATATACAGATAACAGATTCACATTAACAGTTTATAATACTTCATTCAAATTGTGATCAACTATCCTTCCCGTGCTTCTGCAATGTGGTGAGTTATGTAAGCAGTTCATAAAACATAGCTCCTCCTAACTTAACTGTCCTCTGAGGGGAATGAAAGCTGAATACCACAACAAAACCTTAAAGGGATAGTCCAGATTCTCTGAATAGGGGAGCTATGAGCAATCCAAGCTTAGTTTATTTACATAGAACCATCCATATGTTAAGCTATGAAAGTGTTTAAAAAGTGACATATAGTGACTGATAGTGAATAAGAAAAAGGAATATTTTTCATGCAGGTAATTAGATTATTTTACCAAAAAGTGCTGTAAACAAAAATGTTTTAGTACATCTCAGGTTTTTATGGTCTTGAACTAAGAAGCAGAGAAACTAAATGCAGCCTCACCTTGTATGATTGTGGTCCAACAGACACCGAGTGAGCAGGTATTGAACACCTGAAGGGCTGCATAGTTCAAAATTGACAGGATTTTCAAATCTATTATTAGATATACAGGGATCCAGTACCAGTAGGCTAATTTTGCAACAAACGTTATGTTTGTTAAAATTCATATTTGAGTCCAAAACATTGGGGTTTCTCACATCTTTTGGGTTTAAATGCTAATCTCAACCTTCCCATTTTTTGGGACCAAATATCTCGGTGTCTGTCTCATCTATATTATATTGATATTTAACCCTAACCCTAAATTAATATACAGTTAGGGCCAGAAATATTTGGACAGTAACACAATATTTGTGAGTTGGGCTCTGCATGCCCACTAACAAGCCTTCAGGTCTTGCTTGTTAGTGGGTCTTTCCGTCTGAAGTCTGGATTTGAGCAAGTGAAATGCATGGTCAATTGGGTTAAGATCTGGTGATTGACTTGGCCATTGCAGAATATTCCACCTTTTTGCTCTCATGAACTCCTGGGTAGCTTTGGCTGTATGCTTGGGGTCATTATCCATCTGTACTGTGAAGCGCCGTCCAATCAACTTTGCAGCATTTGGCTGAATCTGGGCTGACAGTATATCCCGGTACACTTCAGAATTCATCCGGCTACTCTTGTCTGCTGTTATGTCATCAATAAACACAAGTCACCCAGTGCCATTGAAAGCCATGCATGCCCATGCCATCACATTGCCTCCACCATGTTTTACAGAGGATGTGGTGTGCCTTGGATCATGTGCCGTTCCCTTTCTTCTCCAAACTTTTTCTTCCCATCATTCTGGTACAGGTTGATCTTTGTCTCATCTGTCCATAGAATACTTTTCCAGAACTGGGCTGGCTTCTTGAGGTGTTTTTGGGCAAATTTAACTCTGGCCTGTCTACTTTTGGAATTGATGAATGGTTTGCATCTACATGTGAACCCTTTGTATTGCTTTCATGGAGTCTTCTCTTTACTGTTGACTTAGAGACAGATACACCTACTTCTCTGAGAGTGTTCTGGACCTCAGTTGATGTTGTGAACGGGTCCTTCTTCACCAAAGAAAGTATGCGGCGATCATCCACCACTGTTGTCTTCCGTGGACGCCCAGGCCTTTTTGAGTTCCCAAGCTCACCAGTCAATTCCTTTTTCCTCAGAATGTACCAGACTGTTGATTTTGCTACTCCAAGCATGTCTGCTATCTCTCTGATGGATTTTTTTCCTTTTTTTCAGCCTCAGGATGTTCTGCTTCACCTCAATTGAGAGCTCCTTTGACCGCATGTTGTCTGGTCACAGCAACAGCTTCCAAATGCAAAACCACACACCTGGAAACAACCCCAGACCTTTTAACTACTTACTTGATTACAGGTTAACGAGGGAAAGGCCTTTTGAGTTACTTGCAGCCTTTGGAGTCCATTGTCCAATTACTTTTGGTCCCTTGAAAAAGAGGAGGCTCTGCATTACAGAGCTATGATTCCTAAACCCTTTCTCCGATTTGGATGTGGAAACTCATATTGCAGCTGGGAGTGTGCACTTTCAGCCCATATTATATATAAATTGTATTTCTGAACATATTTTTGTCAACAGCTAAAATAACAAAACCTGTGTCACTGTCCAAATATTTCTGGCCCTAACTGTAGATTCATTTATAATATGGTCACCTTTAGTCAGTGAATGTAGTGGACTAGGGTCATGTGGTGACATGGACATATAAAGTTGCTTGTCATCAGCAGCATACATAGAGTAGTAGATACAGTGCTCTGTAATCTAGTTGGATCTGACTGTAGATGGTGAAAAAGTGGTCTGAAAATTAAACCTTGAGGAATCGCAAAAAATCATTTTTGTTCTCTCAGATTTAAAATTTCAGCATATCAATCATTATGTTATGAGCAACTGCATCAAAGGCAAAACTGAGGTAAAGTAATACCAAGATAGAAAGTTAACCCATTATTGTTAATATGTATACTGATCAAAATTTTTACCCCTGCTATCTTGGTTCCGTTGTGTGATCAAAAGACTGCCTACAGCGATAAAGAAATTATTTCTCTTTTTTTAACTTAAATTTGTTCATAAACTATTTTTTTGATTATCTGTCAGAAACTGTAGACTGGATATAAGTCTGTAATGACTTGCTGATAGATAAATTCAAACACTAAATAGCCATAAAATACTTTAAAGATCTGGTGCCCTTGTGTGCAGAGCAGATCTAATTCTTTGTGAGAAGGATGAGTGGCAAAGACATTGTGCAGATGAAAAAGAGAGAAGAGCAGCTCTAATTTTAAATTGTTATTGCTATAACAATGATATCTATTTTTTTTTTTATCTTAATTCATTATTATTACATATGCCTTATGGCTTTGAATAGTTATGCAACAGGGAAAATCTAACACGTTTTGTCTTGACATGATTTCACTTGACCAGCTTTGACTACTTTGCTTCTGGAGGTGAATTCAATCTACTTTTAGCCAAACTGAAGTTGATCAATGAGTTATACTGTATACTACACATAAGAAAATGACAGCTCAGGACCTCAAAATATAAATTTTATATGATTTATTGGCAATCTAATTGAAAATGATCCACTCTCTTATTGATAAGGGGAAAAGAAACAACCGCCATTCTAAATGAAATGCTCCCAGGACTTTGACCGTCTGGCTAAGCTGGCACGATAAGGGCAATAACAGCAGTGTCAGACGTTGTGAGAAGAGCTGTTTATAGGGTCAAAATTTAATAGAACACGAATGCATCAGTAGATAACAAAATATTGCCGATAACTTTACAAGGTTCTGTCTTCCCTTGGATAAACATTCAGCAGATCAACTTGATTCAGAGAAAGGAACATCAAGCGATTTGAGGTGAGCACTCTCCCCAGCCTCTCAGAGCTTAGAGTTAGACCCCTTTGGCAGGTTTTAAAGTAAATGTACTTGATTTATTTAACATGGAGGATGAGTCACTGTTTGATCATGCAGCTCCTGCTGAGGGAGCTGTAGCTGCAGGGTGGAAATGAAACGCAAAGGCTTATGATGTTACCTGTAGGCACAGAGGAAGGATAGAGCACCAAGGGGGATGTGGACAGTGAGGTCAAGACGGTGGCAGCCATCACCTCCTTATCGGCATGACCTGAGGGATTCCTGAAAAACACACAAACAATGACAATATGTGAAAAAATAAGCACTCACTTTATGTTTGAAGTTATACAATTGTGTATTTGAAAACACAACAGCACGAGTTTAAATGTCAAATATTGGTCGCTAAACAAAATAACCCTCATAGCAAAAAATAACCACGAAGCAAAAATAAATAAAGCAAACAAGAAGTAAGAGCGTTAACAGAAGTTCAGTGAGCCTTGAAGAACTTGCTGCGTGTGTGTATATATGAGACTAATGGAAAGCCTCTAGGGTGAAAGTGACTTATAGTGTGCTTTTAACACTGCCTGTGAAATCTTGCTAGTGAAGCTAAAGAGAGATGCCTTCTCCTCCTCCTCTCCACTAAGCTAAATACTGAGAGAGCCTGCCTGATTCTAAATCTTTATGCTGGAACATGACAAATGCACATGCAACATGGCTCCAGACTGGAGGTTTTTAACATGCGGCAATTTCAGAAAAATTTTACAGAACAGTCACCGAAAAGCTTCCTGCAAACATTAACAAACTTATCTGCCTCACACACACACTATTTCTCTCTATTGCTTGTATTTGGCAATATCCGCCGCGGTTCCTGCCGTCCTTGAAAGAGAAATGTGGGGAAAATTGTTTAAGGCCGGTCCAAGAACTCACCCACACACTTGAGCACATTTGCACACATAGACACATAACAGGATTTGTTAGGTAGAATAGCAAGCTCTCCAAGTGAATGTAGTCAAATGGGCACATTTTAGAACTGTATATATGTGATATAGACCAATAAAAATGGGCAGAAATTTCCAACTCATATGTGAAGAGAAAGGAAGCCTGGAGCTTTAAGTGGTTCTTGTCCCGCCCCCTGACTTCTCCACTACTCAACCAGAGTGAACTGGTTTGAGGCATTCTCTCAGCCAAGCCCTAAGCCCTGGCTAAGCTCCACAGTGAGTTTTAATGCATGCTCGCACACACAAATACACACGATCAATTAAAAAAACTTCTACAAACATGCCTAGAAGAGTGCTTCAAGTGATCAACTCTCCATCTACCTGCACAAACACCACTTTGTGTAATAAAAGTTCACTTTATAAAGAGTTTTACAGAAGCACAGAAAAAAAGTTTGTAAGTGGCTGAGCTCCCACGCTGATGAGAATTTGCTGGATAGGGAGCAAACACATCCCAACGGAATGTACAAGATATCTCTCAGAAAGAAAGCCTGTGCACTCCACCACACTCCACACAGAAAGAAGTGTTAAGATATGTTAGTTTTACTCCTCTACATTTTCAAATAGAACCCAAGTGATCAGTCATTGAAGAAAATTCAGAGTATAATAATACTGTTGAAAAGGACACCAGAACTACACAAAAATGAGTAAACACAATATGAATAAACAACACAGAGAAATGCATGTAGGCACGCACACATACAGTCTGGCCAAGAGATAAAGAGATAACAAGATTAGCTGTGTCCTGTTTCAGTCATTAGCCATGTTTTCAGTACTAAGCAGGGCCAGCCAGGGACACGGTTATGACTTATGGAGCTCAGTTCTCTGCTGTTTGTTTCCATTTCATCATCAACATGTTATCAGTTTGAACATGGAAGTAAAATTTGTCTTAAAAGTGAGAGTTAAGCCTGCTTGAGTCTGTTTTCTGGAACCTACATGTGTATATCATTTACAGGGGAGAAGGAAGAAAAAGAGCTAAAAGTATAGCTAGCCTTTTGAAACCAGAGTTAATCCAAATTTTATTATTCCTCCCTCTCATGCGCGTATGCATGCAAACACAGATACCAACACACAACCGACACCATTACCACCCATCTTCTATCCCCAGCCTGATTTCCTGACATTGAGCACTTTCCTTCCTCTGCTTCCCAGAACAACCATGATCCCTCACAGTCACCACAACTTTTACATCTGGTGCACATTTCTCTGTATGGATGTGATGAGCAAAACAACACATGGACATGTTTTAGACATCTTTTTACACGAAGCCAACTGATGATTTAGGTTTTTTTTTTAATAAGCAAATTTAAAAAAATATATTTTACTGATGCTCTTCTAGTGATTTTGATATCACTGTTTGCAGCAGATGGCTGCCACATTCTGCCATCATAAACACCAACCCTGATCATAAAAGTCAACTCCGACAGATAACTACTCCACCATCGCCGCTTATCGCTCACTTTGATGGACGCGCAACCCTAAATGACACAGTCCCTCGTCTCATCTGTCTGTGGAATGACTATGAAATATTTAAAGCTTGTGGGAGGGCAGAAAAGGAGGAGGGCACAGAAACCGCAACAAGGTCTTTAAAAATCTGTTTACATCCTCTAATAGCAGGATTTATTTTCAAGCAAGTTAAACTGAACATAGTTTTATTTAGGCTTCCTGCAATTTCTGCTTTTAGAGAAAGCACATATTGCTTTAGACAAATGTTGTCTCTGTGTGGGACTTACACATGTGGTTAAGAGGATGATGAGGTTAAGTTTTTGGGGTTTTCTTTTTCAAATGTGGATGTTTGCAAGCACAGTTCACTCAAAGATAATATGATAAATTTTACACTCATTTTAATAAATGTATATAAATAGCCTGTGGTTACTATGTTATTTTGCTGGGTGTAGTGAAGCCATTCATGGCATATGTTAAATTTAACTCCATCAATGACCAATGTTTCTTGAGGTACAAGTTACTTTAAGTGAAAAAGGCTTGATCCCATTTGTGTACGTGTGTTTATGTAATACATAGTTCCTTTCAAATTTATGCAGCCACTAGAACTTAAACTGAACTAAATCTATCACTGTTGTATTTTATGTGATAGAAAAATTTGTGCATAAAAGTGCATTATTGTAAAGCAGTGGGAAAAGAATTATGTCTTTGAAATTGTCTTAAAAAAATTTACTATTACTATTTTCTGCGATACCTTTGAATAAAGTTCAGATCAACTAACTGCTTTATAAGTCTAATTAGGAGTGATTTAAAAATGTAATTACTGCACAATGATGCAATAAATGGAACTGTTGTCTTGAAGCAAAAACGTTCTGGGTTCAGACCAATTTCCTTGGAGATCTGGGAGGAGATCAACCTACATGTGAAACTGATCTTATCCACCGATCTTTATCTACAAAGGTCTAAAAATCAACACCACTGTCCTTTTCTGCTCTCCTGTGAGAGAGGTTTGACTGATAGATCAGCCCACCCGGTCATCTCTACATGTTTGCAATTAACAAAAGTCACCACTCCGTTGCAAATTCAGCAACTTTCATACTATATTTAGCGACATTTCAAACAAAAAAAACATTGGAATTGGCCAAAATCGGAATCGGCACGTCAGAATTTTTAAAGGAAGGTAATTGGCAATCCGCCAAAAAACTGCAATCGGTGCACCCCCAAGGACTAATGCTAAGATGCCAACTCTGGACTGAAACACATATGGGACCTTTTACCTGCATTGAAAATGCTACACAAAAACTAACAGTATATCACCCCGAGTACACAAATCTCAGGGTGAAACGAGGTGATGGCAGCACTATGTTGTGGAGATGGTTTTCTTTAGTGGGGTCAGAAAACTTGTCAGTTGAAAAATACCTTTTTTCAAAATTTTAGAGGCTACAAAATTTTTGTGACAGCAAAATTTGAAAACCATGCAACATTTTCACTCAGTGCCATAGTTGTATATTATGTTGTGTCGGTCCTATACACAAAAATCTAATAAAATATATGGATGCATCCTGCAGAAAAATGTGAAAAGGTTCAACCAGTAGGATTGCATTTGCAAGGCCCTGTATGTGTGACATTTGGCCCATTTAAGTCCATGGACAAACAGAACCATACAGTCTGCTCTCTCACACACACCCACACACTCAAAACACACTTTTACCTTCCTTCCACCTTCAATTTGGATTGGTCTTAGCTGAGCCAAGAACACACCTCTTTGGCAGCAACACAACACATGGGCCGGCTAAAGTCAACATGCCAGGTCCAGGCACATATGGAGACTTCTGCTCTGAGCCAAGACAAGAAGCAGCAACAAGATCAGAGTTCAAAAAGAAGAAGCCATCCTGCATCCAAGTACTGTATCCACTGAGAAGATAAGAGCTTCAGATTAGTATCATATTACTATGTCGCAAAACCTTTTTACAAGATTCTTATGTTTTTATCTTTCCAGGGTTGAGTACAACAATTTGTCCAGTCACTAAATTTTCAAAGTTTAATAAAAGTGAAATGTTGGAAACTACAAATAATAACTGCAGTGCTGTCCAACAACAGCTCAGGCTCGCTCCACACTAAATTGAAAGTTCACAAAAATGGTTAACAATTTAAAATGCTTGCTCTAAATCATATTTTAGAGAACAAAAATTGGAGCTATAAAGAGGGGAACCAACATTATTGTGAGATTTTGCCATTTTTATCATGAATACAAAACCTTTTGACCTTAAGCTCAACATAAAATAATAAAATTTGTCACAGCATGTTTTAATGATGAGAGGGAAACATCCTGGAATAGTTGGATGAAGTTTGTCTGAATGGAACATCTCACAGCAGATTAAATTAACTTGCAGCACTTAGGTAATATTTATGAAGGAAAGAAAAATAAAATCCTGAAGCTGAAGAGTTTTTCCACTGAGTGTTCCACTGTACATGCTGCAGTTTACTTAACAGTTTTATGCTCAGGAGGATTCAATTGCCTTACAGTACCACTACAGATATTATCAAGCAGGTGGTGAAGATATTGTCTCCCTATCAGACAGAAAGCAGAAGTTTTACCAGCAGCTTTAATGCTTTTAAGTTGTTTTCTCCTCTTCCTTAGACCTAGATGCTGTTAAAAACAAAGCTAATCATTGTGGGGATGTTTGGACTGTCATGAACTCATATCCTGAAAAACCATATCTCTGGGCACTACGAGTTTCCTCCAGCTGCTCCAGTCAGGGAACTCTGCACATTCTTTTAACATACAGCTGGTATTCTGAAGGTCTTTGCTTTTCTCTTGCCCTACACAGTTCATCTTACAAA